GTTATCAATACTATAAGATCCTTATGCAGTCCACACATACAGATTTCATAATAAAATAATATAAAATCAATATAATTTTATCAATTTTTGATCCTTAATTGTTAGGGGTAAATGGGAACCTGTCAGAATGCCCCAGGCCAAGGGGTACCGAGGAACAAAAAGGTTGGGAATCCCTGATCTACATCCTCTTTTTTACTATAGAATTTCGAGTGAGCAGAAACACAATGCATTTATAAATACACTAACAAAAAGTGCACATATTCTTAAGCTATAAACCAACATAACGTTTAAAATACCAAGGGAATGTTAAATTATTTCAAACTGTTTTCGGTATTAAAACAACGTTCTGTCTGAAGTTAACTATATTTAAAGAAACTGAATGGTGAAAAAATGTTCTAGTTTTTTTCCATTTCATCTTAATCTAAACGTGAAAACGATGACAAAGTAACTATGTAGAAGCTCTTTCATTCCAGTTTTTCCAAAATACTATACTACAGATGACCCATACGCAGACTTGCTTGTAATTTCACTCGTAAATGTGTGTGAAAAACAGGACTTCTCAAACATTATACATTGCAGCCTGTTGAGTGAGATGTATGAAAAAAAGTATGTATATATGCTTTTAGAATAATGATAGATATAAACTGGGGTCGCGGGTTCGAATCCAAACATGCTCGCCCTTTCAGCCGTGGATGCGTTATAATGTGACGGTCAATCCCACTATTCGTTGGTAAACGAGTTGGCGGTGGGTGGTGATGACTAGCTGCTTTCCCTCTAGTCTTTCACTGCTAAATTAGGGACGGCTAGAGCAGATAGTCCTCGTGTAACTTTGCGCGAAATTCACAACAAAGAAACACACAGATATAAAATTAGAGCGAGACTCTATCTATGTTACATAATTCGTAGCTTAAAAGTTATCAGTATTTTCCCACAATTGGATGATGAATTACTGCATTTAAGAGAGACTGCTGTAATGTATACAAACACCTCTTTTGGCCAACATTACGATACGGTAAGTTCCTCAGTGTTTGGTCATACTTGGCTCATAGTTCCTCCTTAACCATACACTCATACAAATGCCCAAGTTTCTGTAAAGAAACAAACGCGATCATGATTATAAAACTCCAAGGAAATATTAGTTTAACCCCTGTATTTCCAGACTGGATATACCACGCACCCCAGGTAAAGCAGTACAGTGAAACGTATGGTGTTAAAACTAATGTATCTTAAAGTTAAATGTACTTTTTATCTCATTACACTATCTCTATTACTGCCACCTGACGGCTCAGCGGTAAGCTTGAGGGCTTATAACGCTCGATCCCTGCTATGGATACGACGCAAACGTCTCTTTGTGCAGCTTTTTTGGTAAAAACAAGCAAAATATCTGCTCACTCAAGTCTTCATTGCATCAATTAAACGAATACCGCAGCCAAGTTTTCACTAAAGCAGAGGTTTTCAGCTAGTTTGAATACCCATTTCAATGCTAAAACCATTATTTCACTCCCGGTTATATTAGAAATAACAGCAAATAAAGGTGATGCAACATAGTTTTTAATTAATTTATCTTATATGCTAATCCATTAAAATACAATATTCAGTAAAACAGAAGATTAAATGATAAAGAAATTAAAATAATAACTTATATTAATAAGGCACTGTTACTTAAGAAACCTTTACTTAGATATACTGGAAAGTTAAACGGATTCTGACCGTATCAATGTAATGTATTGAAACCTGTAATGCTTTATTAGGGTGTTCAACTAACTTTGCCAGTGTATCCTAAAATTATTATTTTGGTCAATAATTTTACTTTGAAACTTTTATGATTTTAAAAACTTTATAAACTATACGCCCGAAATCGCAATTAACTAGAAACGTTTCGTATAACTTATTCGATTTATTTTCCAATGGTTGTTACGTCAGCATAAATAGTTCGGTCTTCTACGTATCACTCAAAAAATTCGACTTATTTCCTGGAGTGAGTTCCCGGTGGCTCAGAGGTAAGTTTGAGAGCTTATAAATAAAAACAAAAAAATAGGCATTCGATACCTGCACAGCACGGGTAGCCCATTATGTAGTTTTGGAGTAAACACCCTCATGGCTCACCTATCAGATTGGGGGCTTATATTGCTAAAAGTCGGATTTCGATACCCGTAGTAGGCAGAGCGATTAACAACAAACAAACAAAAGCCATCACGGTCATTTTAGTAATGACTAGGGTGAAAATAATTATAATAATAAATTCAGTATTGTTTGTTAACCATACTGTTGTTTGTAATTCACTCAAGAATGAATTAATTGTAGTGAGCAAACACATTCCCTATATTGAGTAAGCATGCTTCCTTGGGTTCAATGACCTTTCTAGTGCCAATTCTGTTACGTAGGCCTGAGATTTCTCGTGGGTAGCTCGATGGTAGTTCGTTTCTCCATGTCTAGATACCTTCTGCCCTCACCGGTTCTCGATCCCATTAAAAAAAACAAAAAACTACAATAACTTTCACTAATC